ATGTAATTAAAGATGTTTAAAAGTTCAATAAACATAATATATGCTTAAATGCATTTCAAAGAAGTTGTGTTGGAGTTTGTGTTATTCTACATTTTGACGCCAAGATTTTCTGATTTTACTGCAAATGTATATTAGTTCCAAATATCGTTTATCGGTCTCCTTGATTACTAATAATCGGTATTGGTATCGGCCTTTAAAAAGCCATATCGGTCGATCCCTAATTAAAACCGTTTTGTTTTTTATTTATGTGTCACAGTATCACCTCAAAATACAAGATATGAAACATTTTCAACCGTCCAACAAAATTTAAATAGTCCTACAAATACTTTTATTTTATTTCCTTCTTATTTTTGTCTAAACTCAAGGGAGCCAGAGCAGAGGGCTTAAAGAGCCACGGGTTGCCGACCCCTGACATAGGATATATAAATACTTTACACATTTGTAAGAAGTCCATGTAAGTTTAAGTCGTATTTCGTCCACCAGTGGTTGGACTGGCAGTTGTCACGAGCCCCCAACTAAACCACTGTGTTGGTCTCTCCCCAGGGAATACAAAGGTGGTCTCTAAGAGTTTGGTTTCAGAGCTCTGCTGTGGGACGTTGACAGTAACACGGGAAATGATGGAGCAATGTGGAAGGGGGTAATTAGGGGAGGGGCCTGCTCGAATGGAACCTGGGTGCTTTAGTTTTCCATGTTTTTGCACAGAATGATTCAAAAGTGCTTGTTGACAGATCTCCACATTGACACATTGTTTTCATTTTGTAATTTCAAACCTATAACTTTCAAAAATATCGATTCTGCTTTGGAACAAAAAATGTTGGTGTATTTATTTTAACCTACATTTCTCAATGTACGGTACCAATGAAGTACCTTTTTGGTATGGGTACTAAGACTCAGATATTGTATTAGCATGAAAAGTATCTGTGTTTTCATTTTGTAATTTGAAACCTATAACTTTAAAAAATATCGATTCTGCTTTGGAAAAAAAAAATTTGGTTTATTTATTTTATTATTTTTACCTACTTTTTGGTATGGGTACTAAGACTCAGATATTGTATTAGCATGAATAGTATCCGTGTACCTTTTGCAAAGCACTGAACTACAGTATACTGTAGGTGTGAGATCAAGTCCTCCCGGGGATATGTTTTCAGAAAATATACCACTTGCCCCTTAAAAATCAACCATGTTCATCATATCTCTGTACGGAGGCTCAGTCACTGGGACACTTTTATTTATAAAGCTATGTTGGGAAAACTCCCGTATTACATCTGTTCTCTGGTAAAGCAGAACGTTGCGGGCAGCTATTGTCTGAGATCGCAGGATGTAGTCTTGTTAGATGTGCCAAGAGTGAGGACTGTCTTAGGTATGACGGCTTTTATGTGCGCAGCTCCACTTGCTTGGAACAGCCTACAGTCCAAATTGAAATTGAGCAATTTTATTTCTCTGAATGTTTTTAAGGCACGTCTGCACGAGATGCTTTCTGACACTATGGGTGTTTGTAAGTGTTGGTGAATATGTAAATATGATGTCCTCTATTGTTTGTTTTTATGTTTCATGTGGAACTAAATTGATGCAGGTCTCCCTTGTAAAAGAGATCCATGATCTCAAGGGACCTATCTGTCTAAATAAAGGTTTGAAATGAAATGAAAGGAAATAGATTGAGTCGTTAAGGTCTATGTTTGATTTGTTTACCGTATTTTACGGACTATAAGTCGCACCTGAGTATAAGTTGCTCTTAACAAAAAATGCGTTGTTAAGAGAAAAAAAACATATATAAGTTGCTTCATTGTATAAGTCGCATTAACCACTGAAGTCTTCATCCTCTGTGTCGCTGTTAAACACTTCCACCAACTCCGGTGGAAGTGTTTATTAGCGACAGAGGTGTGGACGAAGCAGCATGTCCTGCTCCGGGCTGTCCTCAGACTCACCACCAGAATCAGCTCCGATTAGACCTTTCTGAATAAACTGTGTTTTTCTTTAGTTTTTTTAATATACATTTATTACTGGAGTTCTGATCCTGGGACTGCATGATGGAAGAGAAGGAGGGCTAGTAAATTCTCCCTAAGTGCTCATAACCAAGCAACACTGTCGTGAAGCCGTCGTTACTCAGCCTGTCATGCTTTTTAATGGGCTTCATGGTGTGTGTGTGTGTGTGTGTGTGTGTGTGTGTGTGTGTGTGTGTGTGTGTGTGTGTGTGTGTGTGTGTGTGTGTGTGTGTGTGTGTGTGTGTGTGTGTGTGTGTGTGTGCGTGCGTGTGTGTCACAGCTTGCTTGTGTGAATGTGTATAAAATCTGCGGATGTATTGTCTATGATGGTTCACCCAAACCATTATCACTAAAGGAAAGGGAAATAAAGGGCCTAAATGGCCATTAGCTCTCATAAAACATCTGTGCTACTACAGTACCGGTGTTATTGTGATAAATGAATCACAGCACACACACATGTCAGCGCTCCACTTCACTGTAGTACAAACTGAGCACCTGCTCACAGTCACTACTGCAAATCTGAACATCAGCACGCAGATATCTGACATTCAATCTTGCTCATTTATAAAGTTTAACCCTTAAATGGTTTCAGTATCCTGGGGGGGGGGGGGGGGGGTGGGGGTACAGTCATTCGACATGCTGTGTCCATTTGTAAAATAGATGCAATAACAATGTAATTGAAGTTTAATATGGGTGTAATATTGTTGTACATAGGTGTGTTACATGGTTTTAATATGGGTCTAATTCAGTGGTGGGTCGTCAGGGCCAAACACTATCAGGACTCACCTTTAATATAGTTTTTTCACTAACATGTTTTAAATGATTTCCAATAGTCTATTCTCTTCAGTTCATAGCTTTTCTCTGTTGCGCTCGTTTGCGTTGCGTCGAGTAATGGTTGTTAATGTTGGAGCTTTTATCCAATCATATTCAAGTCAGGATGTGTTGCCAGGTCAAAGAAATTCCATCGCGGGCCACATTAACATTATGGTTGCCCTCAAAGGACCGGCTGTAACTTTAAGACATTATAAGCATATATATATATATAATATTTATAAAATATTGTTACATTACATACTTGGCTCCAGTGGCTGACAGTGAGGCACGTACCTGTCCATCAAAGTGACCACGCCCTAATTTATGCAAAAACTTTAAGATAAAAGGGTTGCGTTATAAAACAATTCACTCAACAATTAATAATCATTAAGGTGGAATCTAAGTATATCCCGAATAATTTGTATTGCATCCAGGGGTAGAAACATGTTTTTTTCTGCTGTAAAATTGGGCATTTTAACATGGGGGTCTATGGAAATTGCTCCTTTCTGCAGCCATCGCCTATCGGCCAATATATGAACTGCAGTTTGTGGCACTTCCTTATTGGCGTCCCGGCTCTACCCCAGAGTTTGCCGCTTGATAAAAATGCATATAAACGCTGCTGAAGGTTAATCCAATGTCTCTGTGTCACTTTGAAATGATTACTGATAATCCATCGTAATATTTATGACATTAAGCCTAGTTTTCAGTTTTCGGTTTTCAGAGCGTAACGTAGCTTTCGGTTTGGGCAAACTGCGTGTGCATCACTCTCACTCCTCAATGGAAACGTGTAGGTGGAGTTAGGAACTTCCCCTCGATTCTATTAGCTCTAACGGTTCAAAAGAGGTGTCAATCCCCAAAATCGACCAATGGGTTCCAGAGATATGGCAAACACCCAAATGACCCCAGAGGTGGGTTTCTTTTTCTGAAACTCTCTAAAAAGGTCAAATGTAACTTGTTTTGCATCAATCTTGATCCAGGGTACTTATATGTTATAGTTTGGATTCCTAAAGCTTTTAGTCTACTATCCCATCATTCAAGGGTGGTTTTCACTATAAGTAATGTTTTTTTTTTTTGGACGGAAACTATAATTTAAATAGTTTTACTATATTCAATCTGAATTTACTTTAAAATAAAAACATCTATATTGATTCTGACTCTCCTACATCCAACTCACAGGTTTATCATTGCTTTAAGAAAAAAGATTATTAATTTACCCCTTTTAGAAGTGAAGATATAGTCATTTGTTCTGGGAATGTCATTTTCGATCCTGAGACCTGAAAAACAGGCTTGGGGCTTAACAGGTAGGCAGCTGGGGTGGAAGGTCTCACACTCAAAGAAGGGCGGGGGTGATCTCAGGTCGCCTCACTATGGGGGAGAGAGAGGGGGCGGCGGGTAAATCATCTCTATCAAATAATCACATTCGATGTTTATATAGTAGTACTGCAATTATTTCAATTAATCTCACTCCTCGAAATGCCATCAATTGCATTCATACAATATAAATAGTTTTGCATGAAACAATAAAGAATATTTAAAAACTGACTACGGCAACTTGGTTGACATGTAGTATGCATTGATTCTCGGGTCGAACATTAATACCGACGGTGATGGAGAAAAAAAGGCCCAAGGCATCAGGGGCCCAGTTTAGAAGAAGAAGAAGAAGAAGAAGAAGAAGAAGAAGAAGAAGAAGAAGAAGAAGAAGAAGAAGAAGAAGAAGAAGAAGAAGAAGAAGAAGAAGAAGAAGAAGAAGAAGAAGAAGAAGAAGAAGAAGAAGAAGAAGAAGAAGAAGAAGAAGAAGAAGAAGAAGAAGAAGAAGAAGAAGAAGAAGAAGAAGAAGAAGAAGCTCAAAAGATAAAAGGTATGGGACTTCCGGTCTGAGCGGAGCCATGTGAGGTCGCATTTCTCGAGCTCCTCGCCAGAATCAGAATATTTATATTAGACAACTACCCTCTACACTATATTCAAGCAACTTTAATCTAAACTGTTCTTCCTTGCCTCCGCCCAACAGTTTCATTCGAAATATGTCGTCTTCCTCTCGCAAAAAGGCGTCTGCTGCGCCAGATCCGAAAGCTAATAGTGCTAGCCCGGCTAAAGGTGCTGGGGCAGGGCCCCTAGCTGCTAGCGCAGCACGAGGTGATGAGACCGCGATTCTACGGGCCATTCAATCTCTCAGAGAGGACCTGCTGAAGAATATTGATGACAACGCCGAGATGCAGTCTAAAGAACTACGACGTGAAATAAGCCAACTGAGGGACGAGCTGAGATCCGCCGTTGACCGCGTCAGCAGCCGCACCAAGTGTTTGGAGGACCGGGTCGAGAGCCTGGATACTGCCGCTAATGATCACTCGGACCTCATTACCACTCTCGAACGAGACGTGCAGCAGCTAAAAAAGGACATGAAAATCTTCTCTGACAGGAGTGAGGACCTGGAGGCGCGGTCTAGGAGGTGCAACCTCCGCATCACCGGGATACAAGAAAAACGGGAGGCAGGGAAGAACCCAACTGACTTTGTAGCTAAACTACTCCAGGAAACGCTGGGCTTAGAAAAAGAGCCACTACTAGACATATGCCATCGCACCCTACGGGAACGGCCCCAGGAGGACCAGCCACCCCGCGCCTTTGTGGTAAGATTTCACTATTACCGGGAGAAGGAAGCGACCCTCCGCAAGGCAGCCACGGCCACAGATCCGACAACGTCACACGGAGACAGGATCAGAGTATTCCCCGACTATACCCAAGCAGTCGCGAAGCAGAGAGCCGCCTTCAGGGATGTGAAAGGCATGCTAAGAGGCTGTGATGGTGTCAAGTACGGACTGTGGTATCCCTCGGTTTTGCGGATCACAACGGCCGATGGAAAGCGACACAGTTTCACAGACCCGGGGGAGGCGAAGGACTTTGTTTTGAGGAACGTGGCTAAACAGAGCGGCTAAGATGCTAGGTAAGCTGACTGACGGACTAATGCAGCGCCGGATAGCGGCGTTGCATTTCCCACATGTACGTATATGGGGCTGTGGGCTAGGGCTTGCTACGAACGTTTGTGGTTTTTCTTATTATTGTGTAATTTAAGCCAGCTCGCGCTGCTCATACTAGCCCACATTTTATAACAGCCAGTTGGCTTACAGCCCGCTAGTTCAAGCAACTGCTCTCCTATACTCCTGGGGAGGTTCACGTTTTTCTGGCTCTACTTTTCATTCAACAATCAATACTGGATGTCTGCATATGTTGTCATAACTGGTTAACAAGTATGTTACTTTTACTGAGACCATGTTATGAATGTTCAACTTAGAGGTGTGTCTATATCTATTAGCACAAGGTTTATCTAAAGCTATTGATGGTTCTGGCGGGGCTCGATCTCGCCAGGTAAGCTGTCCACGTTGAGGTGCGAGTATTATCGGGGGCGGGTAGCAGTCCCTCAGTTGGGGAGGGACCAGCTCTTTATTGTGAATGTTGTTTCAATCACTTCAATTACATATGGACCTTCTATTTTAGGTTCTCAATGGTGTTTATGTTCTTATTGCTGTGTGTTTTATTTCAGTTTTTTTAAGGTGACCCATCCCCCCTTTCCCTCCCTTCCTCTCCCTCACCCTTCTGACAGGGGGCTAGATTACTGTCCAAGGTCCCACAATGACCCAGGCAAACAGGGCACCGAGTGTGGGTAAGGCGGCAACTACTTTGGTTAGCTGGAATGTTAGAGGTCTCAATCATCCAGTAAAGCGCAGCAAAGTGTTTTCCCACCTCCAGAAGCTAAAAGCAGACATAGTATATCTCCAGGAAACTCATTTACGTACTTCTGATCACTCTAGACTCAAGCGGGGTGGTTTCTCTCACATTTTCCACTCCAAATTCAACACCAAATATAGGGGTGCAGCGATCCTGATAGTAGGCATGTGCAGTTTGTGGAATCTAAAGTAATTGCAGATACAAATGGCCGCTATATCATAGTGCAAGGTCAATTGTACAACACACCTGTTGTGCTTGCATGTCTCTATGCTCCCAACTCAGATGATGCCGATTTCTTTAGCAATTTCTTCTCTCTGCTCCCGGATTTGAACTCCCATCACCAAATTTTGGGGGCAGACTTTAACTGTGCCCTCAATCACACTCTGGACCGCTCCACTGTCTCCTCTAGACCACTGTCAAACTCAGCTCGAGTGGTGAACTCCTTTGTTGAAGAATACAGGATGGTGGACCCATGGCGATTTAAGAACCCAACATCGAAACAATTTTCATTTTTTTCTACAGCGCAGCAGTCATTCTCCAGAATAGATTACTTCATTTTAGACAAAAAGTTACTCTCTGTGCTTGAGTCCAGTGACTATGAGAGCATTGTTATTTCTGACCACAGCCCAGTGACCATGAAACTTTGTTTTCCAAACCATGTACCACCACAAAGGATCTGGCGTCTAAACCCACACTTATTATTAGATGAAGATTTTATTAAGTATATTTCCACGCACATCGATACCTTTCTTGAAATAAACCGTCAACCAGAGATGAGTATAGGCACTGTATGGGAGGCCATGAAGGCTTATCTTCATGGGGCAAATAATATCATATTCAATCAGTATTAGCAGGAAAAAGACAAAGCGAATGACAGAACTTGTTAATCGGATCAGAGACATTGATAGAATACACTCAACAAAGCCCTCTGCTGAACTGTATAAGGAACGCATTACAGTGCAGGTGGAATATGACTCTCTGGCATCCACCTACGTAGAGGACCTTCATCTGAGATCTAGGCAGACCCATTATGAACACGGGGAGCGGGCCAGTAAACTACTCTCCCATCAACTAAGGCAGTCGGCTACAGACAGTTTAATTGCGGAAATTGGAACGGTAAATGGGGACACCATTTCAGATCAAAGGGGCATTAATGATCAATTTAAGAGTTTCTATGAAGATCTTTATTCATCAGAAGTCTCGGATGACTCTCTGACAACTAACTTTCTAAAGGACCTTAAGCTTCCAACACTGGATCCTGACGGTGTCTCGGCTTTAGAGAGGGACATTTCTAATGAGGAGATAAACCGCGCTATTAAAAGTATGAAAAGTGGAAAAGCCCCCGGACCGGACGGCTTCCCTACTGAATTCTATAAAAAATGTGCTGGCAAACTGACACCTGTGCTGCGCGAAGTATATGCAGAGGCACTCCAGCAGGGTTCACTGCCCCCCACATTAGCTCAGGCGGTAATAACAGTCATCCTTAAAAAGGGCAAAGATCCAGCGAAATGCGACTCCTACAGACCAGTAAGTCTAGTCTGTTGTGATAACAAAATTCTCTCCAAAGCTTTAGCTCTGCGCCTTGAGACTGTTCTGCATAGAATCATCCACCCGGACCAAACAGGGTTTGTAAAAGGCCGACAGTCTTTTGGGAATCTTCGGCGTCTATATAATATAATTTACTCAAATCCAGGACTCTCTCCAGAGGCCCTCATCTCTCTAGACGCACACAAAGCCTTTGATCGCATTGAATTTGACTACCTATTTGCAACTCTTGCTAAATTTGGCTTCGGCCCATGCTTTATCTCCTGGATAAAGGTCCTCTACTCTGCACCTCAGGCAGCAGTTCGCACTAATAATATAATTTCGAAATACTTCCGGCTTCAACGGGGCACAAGGCAGGGATGCCCCCTGTCCCCCCTCTGGTTTGATATAGCCATAGAACCGTTAGCAGCTGCTCTCAGGAATCGGTCAACTTTTACAGGAATTCAGCGGGGAGGCTATACGCATAAGCTGTCTTTGTATGCAGACGATGTTTTACTGTACTGCTCCACTCCGCTTAGGTCCATTCCGGCTGCACTCGATGTAATCACCTCTTTCGGCAAGGCTTCTGGGTATAAGATCAACATGACCAAGAGTATACTCTTCCCCATCAATGAGACTGCGGCCAAGCTTTCATTTAGCAAACTCCCCTTTAAAGTGGCCATTGACTCTTTCACCTACCTGGGAGTGTGTGTGACACAGGACTTTAAAACCCTGTTTAAAAAGAACCTGCAACCAGCTCTGGACAAGGTTAATGAGGACCTGAAGCGCTGGGCGTCGCTCCCTATTTCGTTGGCGGGCAGGGTGAACACCATTAAAATGGTTATTATGCCACGTATACTGTATTATTTTCAGTCAATTCCTGTTTTTATCCCTAAAAAGTTTTTTAAAGACCTGGACAAATATATTTCCACTTTTATCTGGAATAAGAAAATTCCCCGTCTGCGTAAGGCATTTCTTGAGAAGAGAAAGTCAGAGGGGGGTCTTGCATTACCCAATTTTTTACACTACTACTGGGCTGCCAATATCCATAAAATGGCATTCTGGATGAGTCATTTCCGGGAAGGGGGCGGTCCTATTTGGTCTAGCATGGAACAACACTCATGTGAACCACTGGCCCCTGCCTCCCTGATGTGTGCTCCTTTACCACTTAGTAGAAAATATCACTCGAACAACCCTGTGGTCAATAGCTCTCTTAGGATATGGTCACAGTTCAGGAGGCATTTTGGATATAGACAAACTATCTCCTCCATCCCCATAGTTCGCAATCCGGCTTTCAAACCAGCCCTGATAGACTCCGCTTTCCACCTGTGGTCCCGGAAGGAACTTAAGTGTGTTGCTGATCTGTTCTATGAAGGGGTATTCACATCCTTTGAACATTTAGTCAAAGAATATGACATCCCAAGGAATCATTATTTTAGATATTTACAAATTCGTGATTATACAAGAAAACAATTTCCCTCCTTCCCGGCCGCCCCACCTGGTGGATGGATGGAAGACTGCCTTGGCCTCAAACCTTGTCAGGGAGGCTATATCTCAAAGCTATATAATATTATTCAAGAAATCTCTAGCCCCTCCCTTAACCACCTTAAGGGTGCCTGGGAAGAAGAAATGGGCATAGAACTAACCGATGAGACCTGGCGGTCTGCAACTGAGAACATACATAAATCCTCCACCTGTGTGAGGCATGGAGTACTTCAATTTAAAGTGTTCCATCGATTACATCTGTGCAGGAGCAGGCTTGCCAGGCTGTACCCTGAGGTGGATCCCACGTGCCAGAGGTGTCATTGTGCCAGAACTACCCTAGTGCACATGTTTTTCTCCTGTCAGTCCATTGCCCCATTTTGGTCTTCTATATTTGAAACGTTTTCAGTGATGTATGGCCAGAACATACAACCAAATCCCATAATAGCTGTGTTTGGAGTAGCCCCTGAGGGGGTCTCCCTCTCTAATTGCCAGTCACACTCACTTGCGTTTGCAACCCTTCTTGCCCGCCGTATAATCCTCCTCAAATGGAAAGACCGGACTCCACCATCTCACGCCCACTGGGTGAGGGATGTGATGGCACATTTGCAGCTGGAGGAGCTGAGGTATCGTAGCCAGGGATGTGTTAACAAATACTACAAGCTCTGGCAGCCTTTCCTTGACTATTTTAGCAAACTCCCCTGTGCAAATCTGACTGCATGAAGCCCCCCCCCCCCCCAACCTTCCCTTTTAATGTACTGTTTATTTTAGTGGACTGTATTATTTGTTTATTTTATTATTTTATTTCTTTAAGTGCAGCTGTGGGTGTTTATGAATATGTGTATGTGCGTATATACATATATATTATGTGCTTGCACAGTATATGTACTGCAAGGACATTTGTATTTGTGGTACAAATGTACAAATGTACAAATGTAATTCAATTCAATTGTATGATTACACATCTGCATTTTCATGTGCCCTGCATTGTTTTGGTATAAGTGAAAATCAATAAAGAAAGGTGAAATATAAAAGATAAAAGGTATGCACCTGTAACATCTCATTTATTTAAGTAACCTTAACTCCATTGCTGCTTGTTAGCTGCCTGTGTTTCGTCGTCAGTTCAGCAACTAACATTGCAATCATTTCAAACCGTCTTACTTCAGAACGATAATGTGTAGCCCTGCAATAAAAACCTTATAATTATAAACAACCACTATAACCGTTATTGATTTAGTCAACTTCATTTAGTACCTCAAAGGTAATTGTACTGACAAGTCCTTTGTGATTGATGAGTTTGCATCAAAGAAGGCAAGGAAGGTCAGACTGTAGAGGGGAGTTTGGAAGTTGAACTTATGCCTAATTCTGTAAATAAGTTATTTAATGTGTGTTCTGTTCGGTTTGTGTGTTGAAAGATTTGTGCAATTTAGTATTTTCATTCTATAACTTATGTCTTTTTATTTTTGTATGTATATATATTCATGTTTATTTTGTGATACTACTATTTAATTTGTGTAGTTATTTTTGACTCTTTGTTTACACACCTAATGGGCCATCAGCCACAGCTCTCCCACCCCTCCTGTGATCTCTCTTCTCCAGCAGTAAAGTTTAACTGTAGGTTTGTGTTTGCATATGTATGCTGTCGCAGTTCCTGTTGTTTCTATCGCACATTGCCTGTATGAAAGGGTCTGTGCCGGAAATATCAAACATTTAATAAAAGTGAAAAACAGTGAACAAGACTTAAAGATGGGGTAGGTAATTTTGGAGAAACCAGCTCGAGTGCGCTAGAATTTGAAAATACACAACCGGACAGGCAGGTTGGCCATCCAGTTATTTTAGCCGGGCCGGCTCAGATGATTGGTCGTGCTTTTTACAGTACTACGGCTTCCAGAGATGACGTTTTTTTATGGATTTTTTGTCAAAGCACTGAAGATATTCATTGCTATCGGGATGTTAAGAGCATATGGAATATAACAAAAAGTCTATCTCGAGCCGGTTTCTCAAACTTACCTACCCCACCTTTAAGGTATTAATAATTGTCAAAGAATATTTCTGTCTTTACTTCTAGATATTTAACCTTTCTGCCTGTTGACGTTTACGACCAACCCTGACTCGTTATCTCCTTTAAAGAATGTGCTGCTGCACTCATTCTCAGTTTTATGACCGGTCATCTCTCGGAGCCTAACCCCCTGATCCCACCGGAAGCGTCTGCGCTGCGTTGCGCTGCGGCTGCGCCGTGCTGCGACCTCATCCTGCGTCATAACCCACCAGGCGCGTTTCAAACCGTTGCGGAAGCGGAGCGTCGTGTGTGCAGCCTCGCAGTTGTTGTTGATTTTGGAATATTTCCTGGACATTTGTACTTCTACAAGTAAGTAGGCTACGTAGTTAAATGGTTTATGTTTGTGTCTGTTTAAATTGTGTTTATTGTTGTTATTTCCTATTTTGTTGTGTTGTAGACTACAGACAGTTAATAATAATTGTAATATTCCAGTTATAAACGACATGAATCAAAGATGTGTTGTATTTTAGTGGTAAAAAAATATGCATTCATCATCATAATTATTCTATATAATTTACAGTGCCTGTAAACCGGAGGAGAACGCTGGCATGTATTCTCCAACCTGATCTCACCAGAATGCGTGACTCCACCACGACTCCTTAACACCGCATTGCGTGGTGGAGTCACGCATTCTGTTACATTTACGTGTCGGCACCACGCAAAAAACCCCAATGTAAAGTGAATGAGGCTCTTTTGTCGTGGTGCACACACGCATTTCTACAACGTCCCGCAGTGAGCTTTTATTCTA